AAGGGTGAAATTACTTTTTTTTTCCCCCCTTCCCCCTGGGGGTGGGCGCTGCAGGGGTCCCCCCCCCCCTTTTTTTTTTTTTTTGCCCTTGTGAAATGCAGCGGCATCATCAATTTCGGCTAAAGATGGCTGGCATGTGCGGCAGGGCTCCGGGTTTGGCTTGCCTCGAACTTACCCTTGTGTACGTGCAGGGGGTTTGCGCTACTGTGTGGCGAGTATTGAGGTGTCCTGCAGAGCCGGCGGCCGGAGAAGTGAAGTAGCTAACGTGCGAGGTGTAACACGGTGACCGGGAGCGTTCTTCAAAGACAGGCTGAAGCCTTTGCTCCCGAAAGCTTATGTCTGCTTTGCTGGGGAGGAATTTCCCACCAATGAGAACATTTAATGGTAGCGCTGTCAGGAGAGCTAGTGTAGACAGAGCAGCAGGCAGCTGCTGTTGTTTTTTAATACCCTGAGGTTAATACTCTGTTATTTAGACCTATTTTGGGCTTGGTTGGACAAAACAAGACATTAAAAACAGTCCCTCGGGGAGCTTTTGTCTATGTTAGTGCTTCCAATGTGGCTGCCACCAGTGGATCTATGTAACGATAGCAGTGGTGGGCATCTTTGCCAAAAGGGGGGGAAAAAAAAAAAGCCCTTCAAGTGAAGAAATAGCCTTGATGTTTGTGCTGCAGTAATAAGTGTTGTAATTAAACTGAATCATAGCAGGCACAATTATTTTATGCTTTGAGAAAAAGAACAGACCATTATGCCACTAAAGGAGCGCTGCGTTTAAGATTTCCTTTCTACCCTCCAATGTTAATGAGATATTTCGGTTTTTAAATTAAGTATTTGAATCTATGGCACCCCGCTCCCTGGTACTCAAAACCTTTATTGAAGCACTGTTCTTAAGGAGATTAAAATAGTCTGTTTCTTTCTGGAATTTTCTTAAATGTAGAAGAAATGCCTATTCTGCTGTATTAAAAAAATCCTCAAACATGACTTGCAGTGGAGTGTGGACCTGCCTCGAGTTCTGCCCTTGTGGGGTTTGCTTTGTCTTGCTTATAGATATTTAGCAGCTTCCTTCTCATGTGTTTACGTTTCATATCCTGAAGTCATGCTGAGATTAATAATACAGAGTATGACCTAAACAAAAATCATGGCTTTCACATCCTCTGCTGCAGTATACGTTACTGTGCCTGTCAGAGTAGCAGTCGGTGTATGCTCTGCATTGGTACCGTAGAGTAGAGAAGGGGAACAATTTTAGGAAAATATCGTATAGCAACGTTTGCTAAAGAAAGAACGAGAGCTTTGTTAGGAGGAGAAAATCTACTGTGCTGTTCTGATAAATCAGTAAGGAGACTGTGAACGTTTTAATACATAGGTTCATCACCATAAATAGGACATTAGCTGGAGAAATCAGTTCCTGGCCAACATACGCTCTTTCCTAATTTTTTTTCACAGTGAAGTGTTAGGAAATGGCACGTGAGTATTTTCTTCTCATCTTTGCTGAAAAGAGGTATGCCTGATCGAAATGTTGATGACCGGAACTTAGAACAAGGCTTGATGATGTAAATGCTTAAGCACAAGCTCAGCAAGCTGTGCTTAAACACAAGTTTAAGCAAATCTGTAGTTCCATTTGGTGTCAGAGAGGCTGTGTTGTCGCTGAAGAGCATCTCCTCTTTAATCAGCAGCTCTGGAGTCAGGTGATGATCACGATTTCCCTTACATTTTTGAGTAAACTGATCAGTTAGTGGCTTTTCTCACTTTTTTGTTTTTGATTAAGATGATAAAAACTGCATTTTTCTCATTTTAAGCACCATCCTGTATTGGGATGCCTAAGCCTTGCTCTGAAGTGTTTTTCTGAGTTTCTGTTGTGGAAGACCTGCAGTTTGACCTCTCCACTGGTTCTGGGAAAGTTATGCTAGGGATAGCCTTTGCTCTCACTTCTGGCTGTGTTTTTTCATACTTATGGCTGTTCTGATAGTTGTCTGTCTGGCTGCTAAGGGAAGGGAAGATAATGTAGCAGCCATGAAATGCAACTAATAAGCTTTTGTTTCCTGGTATATTAATGACTCCGCAGTATAACGCTAGCCCTATGTAAATAAGGGTGACATTATATGTGTTTCATCTTTATTAGCAGGGCCCATAGTCAGTTAAAGGCAACTTTGAAATCTCTTAAGTGAACAAAGTTTGTTTGTTTTAAAGAGAATTAGGCAATTCAAATGAAAAAAAGGATTAAAATGTAGGCTCAGTTTTGTATCATTAATACGAGTAGAGTGCATTTCTAATTTTTTTTTTTTTTTTTTTTTTTGTTCTATGGAGCCACAGGTCCAGTTATGATTTATAAAGCTCACCTTCTTAGCCTTTTCTTTTGAGGGAGAGCTGCGTTATCTAAAGGTATCACATGGCTGACACGGCATCCGCTGCTGCAGTCGCTTTTAAACATACTGGAACCTGTATGTGCCGCCTACAACTCGGTTCTACGCACGCTAGCAAATCTTTGGGGGCCAGCACATCACATTCAGCCAAACAGCTAACTATTATATGCCTGAATTATTTCTGTCTAGGATGTTTGTGATAATTTTAGTGAGTATAAATCACATTTACCAGAAAACCTCTTGAGGTGCTTAAGCATGCAAGGTCAGGCACTCGGGAAACGTGAAACCTAACGTTACCTGTACCACCCTTAGTTTAACCCATTTCAAGGTAGCGCGGTAACAGGAACCCCAGTTGCTGTATGCAGCTTGATTTCTCTGAGGATGAACCTCACCAGACTCCAGCTCTGTCCCCTCCGGACTGCAGTGGGAAGGGATCGCTTCTTCCCAGCGCCTGCAAGTCAACAGGGGGAGTGCTGGGAGCACAGGGAAGGTGCTCGGCGGCGCAAGGAGAGCCAGCATCAGTCCTTGTGGCTGCGGGCCGAGCAGGCCCAGGAGCCCTCGCGTCTTATTAGGTAACTCCAGTCACCAGAGTTTGACAAAAGCGTGAGCGAATGCGATCTGAGAGTTTTCAAAGCCGTTTAGAGTTTGTCAGGCTTCAAGTTGTTGTCTTAGCGGCCGCAGCAAAGCAGCGTGTCTCTGATTAGAAGGCCGTTTCCTGCCCGGTTTCAGCTCTCGCTCCAAACCGGGGACTCATCAGAGCTTTTGAACGTGATTTCCTTCCAAACATAGCGATTGGGGAGAAAACGGCATTGTCGAGCCATTTCTGTAGAAGTGTCTTAGTTGGTTAAACTGGATTTTGGAAGTTCCTGCTTCCAATTCTTTTGCAAATCCAATGGAGTCGTAGTGCCCTTTGCACGTGCAATCCTTGAGAAGCAATAACACCAACAAAGTGCGTTAGAAGAGCTGCTGTCTGCAGAAGGAAACCCGATTGTTTTGTAGACGACTTGTTTTGCTGTTGTGCGAAGTTGAAAAACACGTTCATTATGTAGTCTGTAAAACTTCCAGTCCGGTTCTGGAGGCTGGATGGGGTGGGTGCAGGTTTCAGCTTTAGAAGACAAGGTTTTTATTTAGGTTGAAAGGAGTGCCTCCTTTTCTAAAGGCTTGGGGCCTATGTGCGTACCTTTGCTTAACTTCCTCTTAACTGAATGAGATTTCCCTCATTTCTACGACTAAACATGAGCGTAAATGTTTAAAGGATCACGACTTAAGTTTACAAATTCAGGACTTTCTCTCGCGTGCCTTTACACAAACAACCCCATAAGGGGCTTGGGTTGTGTCTGGATAGTTAGTTACTCTGAGAAGCAACTTGTTAACTGTTTGGTCTTCCTGATAGGTGTGGGTGTTTTAAAACATTATGCTGTGTTTTCAGGTTAGATGACTGGGATTATCACAGTTCATTGCAAAAGCTTAGGCGGGAATAGGTTTCTTATTGAACGGTTAGAGTGAAATGCTGCTGATGGGATGTCTATAGATCATCACAACTGTCCCCTGATTGAGGTAATTTTTATGGTCAGTTTTTTTTTTGTTTTTTTTTTGGTTTTTTTTTCGTTTTTTTTTACATAGGCTCAATTTTTCCATAGGCTTTGGGAAAACAGGTGTTCAGGATTTAAATTCTATAAACCAAACATGTAAAACTCTTGCCAGATAATGAAACAGGAAAAAAGGGAAATTGAATAGTCTTTGTGTAGACATTTTCTGGATGTGACCCTTAATATCATCTTGCTTGACAGGTTGAATTTTGTGATGATATACTTCTCATTTGTGCAATTGCATTAACATTTTAACTTCTGTATCTTAGAAAATAAAAATTTAAACTCAACAAATCACATGTTCTCTGAAAATGTCAAAATTCATAAGGGAAGCTTATTGAACCCCACTTTTGGGATTCAACTGATTTTTGTTTCTGTATTAAAATACTATCAAGAGTTTTGGCTATATTAGTTGTGGTAGCTTTTTTTTTTTTTTTTTTTTTTTTCCTGTGCTTTGGAATCATATGGCAGATACCTATGGAGATGTTTTATAGGTGACATGAGAACTGTCTCTTTGCCACAGTTTTTTTTTTCTTTTAACAAAACCCCGTCATTTTAATACTACCCAATAGTGCATCTGCTTCTTGCTGCATGATATTTTTCTTTACATTGTAACTCTTTCCTTCCAATGGAACAAAAAGCTGCTTGGCGGTGACTGAATTGCCTACCTCGCTGATGAATTGTCTCATTGTTTTTCTTATACTTCCTTGTATGGCTGTATTCCTAGGGCCATAGGATAGTTGAGGTTGGGAGGGACCTCAGGAGGTCACTCAGTCCAAAATATTGCTTAGAGCAGGGTCATCTTCGAGGCTAGACCTGGTCACCCAGGGCTTGAGCTGTCTCAGATCAGTCATCTTCAACCTATGGTTTGCAGATTGTAGAACGAGATGGGAAGAAGAGCAGTTTGGGCTACTATGCGTTGGGTGAAAAGTGACTGAGAGGAACAAGTTTATAGCTGATCTGTAGTAGTCTACATTTATGAAACTTCTAAAAGGGTACGTACTTCCACTTGAAAACTCATAGATGCCTACAGGTATGTTGAACTGCTGTCTTATGCTGCATTTTCATGATTTCATTAAGCTGATTTTGTAGTAGGCTTCTGTGGAAAGAGGATCTGAGCTGGCTGAAGTTAATCTTTGGAGGAGAAAGGGGATAGTTTTCAGGTGGATCAGTTTACTGGTATCAACTCGCTGTGCAGCCAGAAGCAAGGAGGTGGACAGCACTGCCCCTTTTTGGTGGCAGCTTCATATTATAATCTCTCTGGAGCTGAAACAGTCATGCTCCATGAGTATGGTTTCTAGGCAAAATGAAATAAGTAAATGAACAGGTGTGTATTTGTTAAGAGGATTATTTGCATCT